AGTTCACCCAATCTTGGGTGAACCGGTAGCAACCCACCACTGGATGGAAAGTAATCAAGGAAAGATCCATCCTACAACTAAGGAGAAATTTCCTGGCAATTAGAATGATGAATCAGTGGAATGGCTTGTCTCCAGAAGTTGTGAGTGCTCCATCACTGGAGGTTTTTAAGAAGAAATTGGACAACTATCTGTCTATAATGGTATAGGGTGTCCTGCTTGAGAGGGGGTTGGACTAGAAGACCTCCAAGGTGCCTTCCAACTCCGTTATTTTGTTATTGTTCTGCCAACCATACCAGGGTGTTATAATCTGATTAAATACAGTATTTCTGAAAGCTGTAAGGATAAGGATAAGGATAATTTTATTTCTATACCGCCCCTCTCCCGAAGGACTCGGGGCGGTGTACAGCCAGGTAAAAACACAATACAAATATCACAATTTAAATTTAAAAAATTATTAAAAGTATTACATTTAAGGCCAAAATTAACTAAAAAACCCAAAAATTTAAGAACTCCGAATTTAAAACTCAATTATGAGTTTTAAACTCAAAATTAAATTTTAAATGTAGCAAAGATCACCTAAGAAATGAAGGGTAGCTGGTCAGTGGCTTATGTGACAAATAACAAAAGCCAGTGCTGAGGTTGGATGGGCCAAACTATAGATTTCCTAACCTAATTATACAGCTTCCAGAAAGCATGGGTTTTTTTCCTCCTTATCCCTTAATTTGAGAAAGCAAGCCCAATGGCATCTACAACTAGCCACAATGGAGAAAAATTAACATGCATATACAGGTAGTTCTTGACTTGCAACCATTCATTTAGTGACCTTTTGAAGTTACAACAGCATTGAAAAAGTGACTTATGACCATGTTCCACACTTATGACTGTTGCAGCATCCCCATGATCACATGATCAAAATTCAGATGCTTGGCAACTGGCTCATATTTATGAAGGCTGCAGTGTTCTAGGGTCATATGATCCCCTATTGCGACCTTCTGACAAGTAAAGTCAATGGGGAAGCCAGATTCATTTAACAACTGTCTTACTAACTGAATACCTGGAGTGATTCAGTTAACAACTGTGGCAAGAATGGTCATAAAATGGGACAAAACTCATTTAACAACAGTCTTGCTTGGCAATGGAAATTTGGGACTTAATTCTGGTCATAAGTTGAGGACTACCTGTAGAGTACATTATGGCACAAAATCCGTCCTTAGGAATTTGCCTCCCAAAAGCAAATACACAAATTATGAAATTTGCATTGTGACAGATATTTCATTACTTGCCTTCCCTTGAGGATGCCATACCGCTGTCTATCCATCCTCCTCCTCCTCCTCCCTCCCTCCCTCCCTCCCTCTCTCTCTCATTCCTCATTCCTACACATGTCACAGAAATAAAAGTGATAGGCGTTTGAATGTACAGTTGCAGATACCATCTTAATTTTTGGATCACTCTGCTTTAGACTTTGAAAATAGGTAGCATACAAGTAAAAGGGGGGAAATTAATAACAATAAAAAGTATTGATGAGTTCCAACTGCACAATTCAGTTGGAGTCCTTTAAATTTTCCAGGACAAGGCCAAATTATCATATGTTGTAAGAAATATTGTGGAAAGGGATTAAACCAAATGGGTTTCTTAAAATGAAACAAAACCTCTGTAGGCTTTTCTTACAATGCAAAATAGAGATATAATAACATTAAATGCATTTCTTCCCCAGCTGGTGTGAACATTAAATTATTCTCTTGAGTAAATACAACATTGGGGGCAAGTCATCAATAATAATTCCTCTTCAAATTATTCTACCTTCTCATAATAGGCACTGCAAATTGAAAGAAAAAGTTTAAAATAATGAAAAACAAAATGATTTGCTGCCATCTTGTGGTAAAATGACAATTTATTTTGGTCTACCTTCTGCATGTTGGGCTTTAAAGAAGCAGGAGAGGAAAAGTATTAATGCCTTTAAGCTCTGATGTTTGAGAAAACTCCTGAGAATGTTGTACACAGTCAAGAATACAAACTAATGGATCATCGAACAAAGCAACCCAGAGTTCTCCCGCAAAGCACGAATGACCAAGCTCACATTATCTTGCTTTAGACAGATAATTTCAGCTTCAGCTTCAACCACAACAATACACGAGCAAATAATAGATACAAACTCAAGGTACACTGCTCCAAACTTGATTGCAGAAAATATGACTTCAGTAACAGAGTGGTCAATGCCTGGAATGCATTACCTGACTCTGTAGTTTCTTCCCCAAACCCCCAAAACTTTAACCTTAAACTGTCTACTGTTGACCTCACCCCAGTGGTGGGTTCCTCTCAGTTTGCCTCGGTTCTGCCGAGCCAGTAGCGGTGACGATATGACATCACCAAACCGGTTCTGTCCCCCCCTGCCTCCCCCCCACGTTATTCTTACCTTTTATTTGGCCCCACCCTAATCTATTGCTGCCTCCTGAGTCCCAGCTGATTGGCTAGAAGGAAAAAATCTGTTTAAACTCTTGCTGCGGGGCTTCAAAGGGCCCCCCTACAGCTGATCAGTGTTAAAAGGCAGTGTGCTGGTAGAACGGTGCCTCCAAAAACAAATGAGTAGACCGGTGCCTGCAAAAATAAATGAGTAGACCAGTGCCTGCAAAAACAAATGAGTAGACTGGTATAGCTCTGCAAGCAGTTAAAAGCCTGGTAGACCAGTACCTCTGCTAAATCCTAAAGAATTGTCACATGACCATCAAGCCACGCCCACAAAATAAGCCACGCCCACAGAATCGGTAGTAAAAAAAATTAGAACCCACCCCTGCCTCACCCCATTCCTAAGAGGTCTGTAAGGGGCATGCATAAGTGCATCAACATGCCTACCGTCCCTATCATAATATTCCTTTTTACTTATCTTTTCATGTATTCAAATTATGTTTATACTTTTACCTGTTATCTTATATATGCTTGACAAATAAACTTATGATTATGATTATGATTAATTTGGGAGGAGTGGCATGGTGGTTTAGCAGTGAAGACACACTCTTCACATTCAGGAAGTTAAGAGTTCAATCCTAGGCAGCCACAGATGTTTCTCTTGCAGGGTACAAAGAGAAAATATCTACTGTGAACTCCATATAGGCATCAGGAAAGGCATCCAGCCAGTAAATGCTCAGCTCCATTCAGTCGCCTGACTCCACCCCGATGAAAGGGATTACAGGTTCATTAAAACAACAACAACAACAAATTGGGAAAAATGGAAGGAAGGAGAAGGTAAAGATGACCAGCAGCAAGGGGAGTGCACTCAGTTACAGTAGCAACAAGTCAGTCAATGGAAAAGTTGTAAGAACATTTTAGGGATAGATTATCATGGACAAAATCTATGTGATCACTACCAGTTGAAAATGATTTGATGGCACATAATCTATCAATTAATCAACCTTTTGTATGATAGAATTCTAACAAAAAAAAAGTCATTATAGTTTTCTCTTACTGCATTTGATGATAAGTAACCACCAATTAAAAAATAGCTAAAAGGAGAGAGAGAGAGAGAGAGAGAGAGAGAGAGGAGAGAGAGAGAGAGAGAGAGAGAGAGAGAGAGAGAGAGAGAGAGAGCAAAAAAGAAAGCATCCAACAGTTTCTACATCAACTAAGTAAAATCGCACAAGATTTTACTGACATAACTGACTCTGTAAAGTGACTCATATTACAAGTATCTCCACAAATATTTGCTCTCTGACCTGGATGAAGAGTGAGCGAGGAATGCTAGCACCAATGAGAAATAAAACTCAGTTGGGTAGATGTGACCGGCAAGAGACAGTCCCTCAGATAACCTGATCCCAAGCCATGAAGGGCTTTAAAGGTGACAACCAGCACCTCGAATATAGATGGATGTAGATATATAGATATACAGTACATGATATACATAGAGAATCTTTTTCATTTAAAACAAATGAACACTTTGCAAACCAAATGTGTTTAGTAGATCAATAGAAGCAGTTTTCATTTTATTCCAATTCTTCTTCTTTACTTCCTCTTTTACCACTTTGGGTGTCAAAGGAGATACAGTAGAACCTCTGGTCACGAACACTTCGGACCATGACCAAATAGGTTCTGACCAAAAAATTCACAATTCCCCCCACCCCCCCGAGGCCGATTTCCCATTCCGCGCCATTTTTTTTTTGTAAGTGCCGAATTTCCAAAATTAGGTTCAGGTCACAACCAAATCAGGTTGCAACCAAAGTTATGGAATGAATTATGGTCATGACCAGAGGTTCTTCTGTACAAAGTTTTGGTTCTTAAACTTTCAACTCTTTTATGCAAAACAAATATGGTCCTTTGGTACCATAACCATACGGGACATTGAGGTTTTTGCCAAGTTCTTCATAGTATTTTTTCATCATACACACTAGGACTGGGATCAGAATTGTTCATGGGACAGGCTACAAACTGGTTTTATATTTTAAAATTTCTGATTAAAGATTAGGCATCTGGCCTAGTGACATTACTGATTGACAACAAATTTAACTCAATTTGAAAAGTTACTGAAAGTTCAATTTGTGTCTTGTTTTTTTTTTTTTTTGCATCAGGCTAGGATAAATGCTTTAAAAAAATCTCCTAAACAATGTGCCAACAGAGAGACAGATAGCAAATTTCCAGTTGTTCACAGGAAGGATTCTAACAATGGCTTTCTGTACCTCTCCCAAATTTCAGTAACAATGCAATGTTGAACTTTTATTTGGTCTGACTAAATGCTTTATCATTAGACTTGCTAATAGGTTAGATATCAAAATATCCTATTTGACCACTGTAAATATCTCTGGGATAGGAGAATTCAAAGTAGTCCATGCCTTTTAATGCTGGCTGTTTTACTATTGCTGAAAGAACTGGTCACCATGCAGATGACACAAAAATTTTGTGGTAAGGCTAATGCACTAATGCTAATGCACTAAGACCAGGTTTAAAGTCTATCTTCAGGTATGCAAGCTCACTGGGTCACTTGGGGCAGGATCCTGTCTTTCAGCTCAACCTACCTCACAGGATTGGTTTTGCAGAGAAAACTGGAGAAGAAATTTAAGGTAGGCTGCTTTTGCTCCTGGAGAAAAGGTAAATATAAATCTGAAAAAGAGACGCAGTAGATGAAAATAGATGAAAATTTTACGTTATTATTAGCTTTTGGGTAATACACATTTCAGGAAAAGCAACCTTCAAAAAAATTGCCTTTTAAATCTATGTACATTAAAAATGGAGGAAAACGTTGCCCCACTGTCGTATTAATTGAAAATGAAAATCCCTTAATTGTGGAGCGTTTTAAGGATAGACAGGAGATTGATGTTCCATAAATAATGAGTAGAATTTCCATTCCTTTTGGAAAAGAAGCTTATATCCACAAGAGGGTGCTCCAATCACACCAATGCAAATTCATTGCAAGGTTTATTCACACTTTCTTAAGAGGAAATTTCATTGAACTCAACAAGGGTTACTTCTGAGTAATGTAGATAGGACTGCAGCATTAGAATTCTGTCTTATTGTTCATTGACTCATTTCTCAAAACAAATAGAAACAACAATTTACCCATTTTTTTTGTTGAATGTATTACAGGACTTCTTTACCAAACAATTCCTTACACCTTTCAAACTACAACTAAGTATTAACATAATATATACATACTGTATATAGTTATCATCATTGTCATCATCATCATCATCCTTTCAACCATTGTCTATCCACTGGAGGATGAAGGCTTCTTCCGCATGTTTCCAATTAATATGGTTCTGAACTTTCTTTTGCTAATTGGGCCCATAATACTTGCTGATGTCATTGATCCATCTTGTTTTAGGTCTCTTTCATGGATGCTTTTTATCAAGCGGGATCCATTCTATGACTGCCTTGGTCCACCTGCCATTGGTCCTTCTATGTGATCAGCCCATTTCCATTTTGATTCTTTTATTTTCTTGATGATATTGTATTTTTTTTTGTTTGCTCTCTAATCCATATCCACATCCATATCCATATCCATATCCATATCCATATCCATATCCATATCCATATCCATATACCAGGATAGATAGATAGATAGATAGATAGATAGATAGATACATACATACATACATACATACATACATTGTCTGTCTGTCTGTCTGTCTGTCTGTTTATAGTCTTTATATTTCTTATGTTGGAATATAGTATCTTGATTAATTACAGCTAGTCCTCAATGTATAACTACTCACTTAGTGACCGTTCAAAGTTACAACGGTTCTGAAAAACGGAACATGACCATTTTTCATATGTTGTATTTCATATGCTTCATATGTTCCATTGCAGCATCCCCACGGTCACCTAATCAAAATTTGGGCACATGGCAACTGGCATATATTTATTATGGTTTCTAGGGCCTCAGGCAGAGGTGAAATCCAGCAGGTTCAGGTAGCGGAAATTTTGAGCAGTTTGGAGAACCAGCAAATAGCACCTTTGGCTGGCCCCAGAATGGAGTGAGAATGGAGATTTTGCAATATCCTCCCCCCAGGAGTGGGGAGGGAATGGAGATTTTGCAGTAGCCTTTCCCTGCCATGCCCCCCAAGACACACCATGCCCACCAAGCCACGGCCAGAGAACTGGTAGTAAAAAAAAATTTGAATTTCACCACTGGCCTCGGGGTCATGTCATCCACCTTTGGACTTCTGAGCAGCAAAGTCAATGGGGAAGCCAGATTCACTTAATAACTGTGTTACTAACTTAACAACTGCAGTTATTCACTTAACAACTGTGGCAATAAAGATCATAAAATGGGGCAAAACTCACTTAAGAACTCTCTTAATTAGCAACAGAAATTTTGGGATCAATTGTGATCATAGGTTAAGGATTACTGTACAGTCATTTTCAATTCCTTATTCAACCATAAAACCACCTGCTAAGGCTTGTAACTATTGTTCCTGTTTTAAAGATAGCAAATTCTGATCTGGATATGGCAAACTCCCTGAGAATCCTTGCTTACATTTTGAATTACAGGTAGTCCTTGCTTAATGACTTTCATGCTTGGAAATGTTAGGAAGGTGCTGAAAAAGTAACCTTACGACCAGTTCTCATACTTATGACCATCGCACCATCATTGGTCCCATCATCGGTCCCATGATCAAAATTTGGGCACCTTGCAACTGACAGGTGTTTATGCCCGTTGTAGCTTTGTGATCAGAATTTGCACATTTCACAACTAGCTTCCAACAAGCTTAGTCAATGCAGAAGCTGGCAATAAAATCACAAGGTGTGGTCACATGATGTCTCATTTTACAACTGCAGTGGAAATGAAGTCATAAATCCATTTGACACATTTGATGTGTCACTTAGCAATGGATTTGCTGGTTCCAATTGTGGTCATTAAGCAAGAACTTTCAGTACTGCATACTTATCTGAGACATTTCTATGCCATCTTTCTGAAAAGGAATCTTTCCAAGATCATTTTAGATGGAACAAAAATCTTTGTTAAGTTAGAGCACTTAAGGTGTCAGGGTGTCAAACTCGGTCACATCACGGCTGTATCATGACGTATCACGATGTTTTTGCCTTTGCAGAGTCGGGATGGGTGACATGACATATCTGGCCCACAGGCCATCAGTTTGACAGGCCTGACTTAGAGGATCTGAAGGCTGCTTAGATAAGTCCACACATATCTACAGATTTCTAGTTTTATTGTTTTCTTTGGACTACAATATAATTGGAACACTGTATTGGACAAAAAATTCACCAGTTTCAATGAAGAATAGTTTTTACCTATTATCTATTTTGATCTTAGATCCATTCAAGAAGCAAAGCATCTGTTACTTATTCTAGTTATGTGTTCTTATTCTCTAAGCCAAGATTTATAAATGCCCCCCCCCCCATCATCATACAAGCAGGCATGTTCCAATCTGTTGCTTTCCTGACCAAGTCCAGAGAAATGAGTGACAAACCATCACAACCCTAACGATAGCAGGAGATCAAATGCGTGCAACAGAACACCCATCTCTGCTTGGCAACATAAGCAAAAAATAATAAAAAAAAATAATAAAATCCCCTTCAGCTCTGGGCCCCCTTTTCCCCCTGCTCCTTGCCTTCCTCCCTGTTGAAGGAATGGCTGGCACACGGAGTTAGCACATCTCGCCAACCATGCATATCGAAGTCCTGTACATCTTTGGCTGTCGCAGCCAGGGTGGTCGTGGCTGCATGTGGAAAGCCTAAAACAAACACAGACCAGCTGCTGCCAGATGTTGAATGGCTTTCAGGTTCACTTGATGCTTCGGAGGTAGGCGGTCCAAGCGCCACCCTTGCTTTCCCTGTGCCGTTGGAAGGAACAACATGGCCCAAACGCTTGTATCTTCCCCTGCCCATGGGGCACAGCGCTTGTCTTCCATTCAGATCCATCTGAGCAAATAGGAGTCTGCTCCAAGCGGTAGTGGCCACTGATCCATCAAGGTTATGTTAAACAAACCCTGCTGAACAATTTACAACTTGACCTCCCATTGTGCTGGGAGTTCAGTCTGGAGAATTTTTGAAAGACCTTTTTCTTGGGAATGTTATACTTTATGCTATATTCATGAGGCTAAATTAGCCAAATCTAGAGCCCCTGTTTTAATTTTGAAAAAGAGGAGGTTTGGGTCCTTCCAAGACAAAGAACCTAGTAAAAAGCTCAAAAAAAAAATCAAAAACTGTTAAAGCTATCCTTTGATTATTTCTTTTTGGGCAACTACTTTTTAAAGTAACAAGAGAGTAAATTAGGCAAGTTGTTCATCATTCCTCACATTGCGTCCACCACCAAGCAGTTAATTTTTGAAGGATCAAATATGAAATGGTTTGATATGCCACCCTGCAAAAGAAGCACCTTCTTAGTCATGCATTATCTGGTGAGATTTTTAAAAATCCTGTGCAATGGCAACAGAAGTTTGCAGTTTTTACTGCCATACATTTAACTTCTCAACTAAGAGCAATAACATAAAATCATCAAAATATGGCAAAAGGTATGACTCGTTCTAACTATGACTACAGTTACATGGATGGCTTTCTACTAATGAAAAGAAAAAGCAGTAATGTTTGCTGTTAATCTATTGTTAGTGTTCCATATGCACCCCATAAGGAATCTAATTTTTAATAGATGACCTTACAATGTAATCCAATAGTATTAATGTTCTCACACTTTTGCATTGTTGAGATCATGAGAGGAGACAAACCATCATACGGTAACACCATTGGGGGAAAGAATTAAGGCAGAGGGAACAACTAAACTGATTTCTAAGTTAGTATATGTCAGCTGCAAAAAGAGATGCTGTCAAAAATAATAGAGAGGTTTAAACATTCTGGACATTTGAATTTAAATAAACTTTTATTCTTCTTCCATTGTTTATATTAATCTCTGATCATTGCTTATGTCTGGATGGAAAGGTTGCGTGAATATGCATTCCAATGAATATAGGCCATGCATTTGAAATGCAAAAGCAGTTTAAGCCATGACTGCTGAAAAGGCTTTTGGTCAGGTGTACAAAGAACCATCTCCTGAGTTATTTTTGACTATTTAGTTTCATAGGAAAATAGCACTTTTTCCTCTTTTGAATCATATAACGAGCACTAGGATTGTACCGTACAAAGCTTGGGCTTAAAGGTTTGATTCGAGACCATTCAATCAAACTTCCAAATTTGATTTTCTGAATAGTTGAGCTGAATAGTCAAATAGCGTATCTTTAAATTGATTCAGCAACTAAATAGATCCTGCAACTTTTACATTAGTAATTCCAAAAACCAAATCTATTTCATTGGATGGTTTGAACTGAAACATTGAACCAGTAAAATTTTCTGAATCCACTTGAATCTTTAAACTGGATCAAACTGGTCATCAAAATAGAAATAATAATTCAAAGTGGATCACAACTAATCCTTACTGATTAGTTGATATATAACTGAGTTGATAACATTATTCAGACATTTTACAGGTGTTGGTTGACTGCTAATGTGAAATGAAATGAATAACTTCCAGTTTCATCCAAGGAAATGTATATTTATACTAAAGGCTCTAATTATGCTTTACTTATGCATGTTATTGGCCTTGTAAGTGTCACCATCAGCATACAGATTGAAGAAGGTTACATGCTTCAATTGATTAGCATTGAGTGTTTTTATGTAGCACTCATCACCATCAGCATACAGATTGAAGAAGGTTACATGCTTCAATTGATTAGCATTGAGTGTTTTTATGTAGCACTCTTGCATCCAGGGGTGAAGGTTGGGCTGAGAGATAATGACGAATCTATTGTCACCCAATCAGCTTCCATAGCTGAGGGTAGAATTAATAATCCAGATGCTCCAACTATTGAGCTCTACAGGTGATAATGTTTCTTTCAGGTAGAAATCTCTGAAGGTATCTCAACTGCAATGGACTCTTTAGCACTTTGTGTGTCTTAGTACATGATGACCATGTCAGGCCCTTGTGCAAATATGCATGAAGAGCATTACCGTATGCAAATTCCAGACTGCCAAATACACGTCAGGAATGTTGAACAAAAACTCTGTTTTCTGATCAATAGAATGTTAACCTGGTTTTTTAAGTCACATAGAATTTTTTTTAAAAAAATTGACATTTAAGCAGTGGTGAAATCCATTTTTTAAAAAATACCGGTTCTGTGGGCGTGGCTTGGTGGGCGTGGTGTGGCTTGGTGGGAGTGACTTGGTGGGCTTGGCAGAGGAAGGATACTGCAAAATCTCCATTCCCACCCACTCCTGGGGGAAGGATATTGCAAAAATCTCAATTCCCACCCCACTCCAGGGGAAGGATGCTGCAAAATCTCCATTCCCTCCCCACTCTGCGGCCAGCCAGAGGTGGTATTTGCTGGTTCTCCAAACTGCTAAAAATTTCTGCTACCAGTTCTCCAGAACCTGTCAGAACCTGCTGGATTTCACCCCTGCATTTAAGGAAAGATAGCATTAGCTATCATCTATCTATCATTTATCTATCTATAGCTAGCTAGCTAGCTATCATCTATCTGTCATTTATCTATAGCTAGCTAGCTAGCTAGCTATCATCTATCTATCATCTATCTATTTATCTATCTGTCTATATCTATCTGTATTTATTTATTCATTCATTCATTCATTCATTCATTCATTCATTCATTCATTCATTCATACTTCTTAACTACCCATCTCCCTCAGAGAGGGCCTCCAGGCAGTGTACAATTTAATAAATAAAAATAAACATTAAAACAATAATTTCATATTGGGTTTTTTTTTTTAAATATAAAACATAATTATAAAATTTCAAAAGATGGAGAGTTCCAAGATGGGGAAGTTAACAATTGTTAATACAGATAGGGTGTGTAAGAGGAACACAGAAAGATATACATGCCAATTGAAAATTCCAGAGAAACAACCTATTTCAACATAGATCTTTGGGAAGGCGACTGCCAATCTAAAAGGCTATAATTATCTAAGCATTCTGGGAGTTGTAGTCTTAGCACAATTTAGCAGTGGTGAAGATTGCTGTAGCTAGAGCAAGCAAATGAAACAGTATTGGTTTTAGCCCACGGGAAAGTTCAGTTCAGCCCTTTCCAAAGAGCATAGGAAACCTTTGTAAAAAGAAGGGAGGTGACTCCCAAGTAGCAGGCAGGTACCTGAACACCTGAAGCATTCTCTAACCATGACTTCATTGCAGGCACCATGCTTTCTGTCTTGTCTGACTCAAATATTGAGACTCCGGGTAGATTGTTGTTGCCTGGCCATCTATTGTCATGTGGCTACTGTGCGAGTTAACAAATGACAGGAAGAACTTTTCCCACTTCTCCCTCCCCCCGCCATGCCATGAGGCCCTCGCCAGCCCATTTCTCCTCCTCCTTCCTCTCCTCCCATCTCAGGCACACACCACACAAGGCAGGGAGGGGGAGGAACAACAGGAGAAGGTTCCTCCATGAAAGGAACGAAAGGAGCATAAAACCGTCAGCTGCGTGCAAAGCTGAATTCCCACGACCCTCCAGCTGAACTTTTGTAAATAGGCTTGGCAGCCAACCCACTTGCCTTGGAACAAACAAACAAATAAATAAATAAATAAAGTCTCCAGCTGAACTCCAGGAGAGGACATAGGAGGTTGACTGCTTGGTTTTCCTTTTCTGTTTTTTTTTTAAAGTCTCTCCCTCCGTCTTCCTCTCTCTGTAATTCTGATAAGATGGTACTGTCTTTTGTCTAAGCATACTTACCTATGTAGTATGTCTGTATTACTTTTATCCTTCTCATCGGTTACACTGCCTTCTCTTCTTGGCATTGTTATTATGATTTTTATTACTTATAAAATTACTTTACTAACGCATTTAGTTAGTAAATTAATATTAGTAATTAAATTAGTAATTTAATTAGTTAGTAATTAAATTAATTACTTTATTAAAGCATCACAAATACCATTGACTGGTGCTAATGGTTGATACAGGTTGTATCAACCAAGTACCTTCTTAAGATGTACGATGTTCCGAGTAGTGCAATTTTTTGCAGTTTCGCTGGTGTTATTGTAGGAAGCTGCAATTTGTTGATGTATCTTGTAAATTTCTTGGACATGATATCAAGTGCCCCGATGACAATGGGTATCACTGTTACATGTTTCATCCATAGCCGTGTAGTTTCTATGGCCAGATCGCGATATTTCGTGATTTTTTTCTAGTTCTTTTTCTTCGACTCTGGCATCTCCTGGTACCGCAATGTCAATAAATTGTATGTTTCAGTTTTCGACAACTGTGATATCTGGCATGTTGTGTTCCAAGTGACGATCTGTCTGTATTTGAAAGTCCCACAAGATCTTCTTCATCTTCTTCATCATCATCATCATCATCATCATCATCATCATCATCATCATTATTATTATTATTATTATTATTATTATTATTATTATTATTATTATTATTATTATTTCATTATTTTGCATGTACACCAAGAGCTTACGCACCAGACACAAATTATTGTGTGTCTAATCATACTTGGCCAATAAAGTATTTTTTCACACTTAAAAAAAAACCAAACCTGTAATCCTGGATGGTTTTTTTTCCTCCAAAACATTGTCTCTTCCCCAGAATACACACACATTTTCACATATATCCATATGTGCTGACCTTGCTGTGCTTTACGTATTTTGACATTTATACAGGTAGTCCTCAACTTACAGCCACTATGGAGCCCCAAATTTTTGTTGCTAAGTGAGACTTTGAATGAATTTTACCCCATTTTATGGCTTTTCCTGCTACAGTTGTTAAGTGAATCACTGTAGCTGTTAAATTAGTGGCACGATTGTTAAGTAAACCTGGCTTCTCCATTGACTTTGCTTGTTAGAAGGTCACAAAAGGGGAATCACATGACATCCTGGACACAGCAACCATCATAAATATCAGCCAGTCGCCAGCATCTGAATTTTGATCACGTGTCCATGGGGATGCTGCAATGGTCATAAGTGTGAAAAATGGACATAACTCACTTATTTTCAGTGCTGTTGTACCTTTGAACAGTCACTAAACGAATTGTTATAAATCGAGCACTCTCTGTAATCCATTGTTTTGCTGAAAGCCATGTTAAGTGCTAAAGGTTTAGCACTTTAAGACTCAGTGAAGACAGGTAGAGTTTCATGTCACTTTCAAATGCTACACTACATCCTCTCCCATTCCCAGTTCATTCCTAAGGAAAAGATTGGTGGAAAGTTAAGAAAGAATTATGGGACATCAATGAGAGATTCAGAATCGCTACTTGGTCTTGGAGGGAACAAATGGTATTCCCATGACTGAACCCGGGTGCACGGGATTTAAACATTTCTCTTTCTGTTCTGGCGTAAGGCTTAATTTCTGCTTTTCAGGAAAAATTACATAAGACTTTAGCAAGTACATACTGTTAACATCATATGGAGATGGAATGGAGGTCTCGGTAACTATTTCAACATTTATCAATTTTTCCCTGCAAAATCCTCTTCCAGAACATTTCTCCAAGCAATAACTAGCAACTAGCAAAAACAAGCAATAAAATAAAATAAAATAAAATGAGGGTATCCTGGCAGAAAGAATCTCTGGCTGAGATTGATCATCCTTTCAGTTCATAATTTACAATTTCTCTGCAGTTGTCTCCCCAGATTCTACATTTTGCTATTTTCACAAGAGAGAGAGAAAAGAAAAGTGGTTGTTATTTTTTTTTAAAAAAACTATCATCTAGCTACCTTCTCTCTCTCTCTCTCTCTCTCTCCCTCCCTCCCTCCCTCCCTCCTTTTGCATGGAATTTGCATTTCCCTGTGATTTTAAAAAAATCAAGATGCACCCCCTCACACTCTCATACATGCACACAACCTCATAATCCCCGTTTATTTCAATTGCAATCTAATTCTTTAAAAGACTGGAAATTCTGAGAGTTGTACTTGCATCTCAGTGTATAGTCCTGAACCCCAATTTTCTCTTATTTTCAAAAATAAGGGACTAATGTTTTACAGCTGGATGCAGTCGCTCCATTAATATTTGCATGAAACTGCTGCAAAAATTGGCTCAAAAGAGAGAGAGAGAGAGAGAGAGAGAGAGAGAGAGAGAGAGAGAGAGAACCACAACACCGAATGCTAAAACAGGATTTTTCATCATATTGTTCATACCAACTGTTTATTTTTTAACAGAATTGAACATAATTGGCTAATAGTAATCTTTACATAGGCACTCTCAAGGCATTGAAGTGTGGACTCCTGCCTAGACATACTCAAAATCAAAGTTGCAATGTTCTAAAATCAGGGGGAAAAAGATTCAGTTCATAACGCATAATGAATTGAACCAATTTATATTCTATATGAGATAATTCTCTCTTAGAAACTTGTGTGACTTCACTAATTTTGTATGCAATGCAGGGATTTCATTCCATGTATGAAGCACATGCATAGACCAATTATGATTAAGCAGAATTAAACAAAATATTAAAAAACTTAAAGAAAAAATACCAAATGAAACTTTCATCACTTACGGGCTTGAGAAGAACTGGAATAAGGAGCCTGCCCTTACTGATCCCGTTGTAAATAAGTTTATTCTTTTTTCTCCCTCCTTATATCTTTTATTTAGGCATCACATATATTATTTAGATTATAAACTTGAGGCAGGAAGTGCTTCAGTTATGCTCTGGGACCCTTCTTCACTAAACGCTCTATATAAAATTGCATAATTGCAATTACTTTGAAGCTCATTGTTGTTGCTGCTGCTGTTGTTTTTAATAAGGAGCAATTTCTGTTTTGTAATCACTTTTGTTATGTTAGCAATCATGCATGCTATTCTGGCAAGAAATCAGAACCAAGATATCTGACTAATTATAAATGTCAGTCCTGCCCAAATTCTGCACAAAATAGCAACCTTTCATGTTTCTGGGTTAAACTGGATTAATATGGATGATGTAAACATGTGGATATCATGTATTGCTGCTGGAAACTGATGTATTCCAAGCCACGTAAGTATGAAGGAAAATATTTCAAATGTTTAACCTCATTCCAATTCAATTGGAAAGGTGGTAAAATATGGCTAGTTTACAGTCCAACCGAGACCCCACTTTAGATTCCTAAGAAAAGAGTTATCCTCTGAGATTTAGATATTCCCCTTATCTTCCTGATGTAACATCATCAGGAATTTCTATTCTTTTTACAACTAATGGAATTGTCTATGGAGATTCTCAGTCATTCAGGTAATGATTGTCGCCAAGATGCTTTTTCAAAAGGCAACTGAACATTCTTTTATATAAGATTATATAAGATTACTTATTTTGAATGGTGCGGGTGTATGAATGGATTTCCAGAGAAAATTGCACACTATGACTGCAAGGAATTTAAATCCTTGCATTCTCCACCATTCAGTCAGAACTGAAGAAGCTTCTTGGGCGAGAAGCAAAAAGTCTTCAAGGAAAAACAAAGAAAGTCCAGTTGCTTTTTGAAAAAGTTGCTTTTTTGGGGACAACTGGGGGGAATTGTTATTTTACCAATCTCTGAGTCAACTCTTTCTGTTTTTCGTCTCCAGCAAGCACACAATCAGACTCATTTGCCACATTGCTTTGTGAGTATCGCAGGCACTGTGATAATGCCAGACATAGGGCTGAAGTATTGTCCAAATGCCAAGGAAGCAAGGGGAGGGAGAACAGGAAGGAAAAATCCTCTCTACGCTGCTGCAGCAAATCGGTTCAGAGAAAAAGCACTGAGAAGGAATAGTAGCATGCATGCATGCCAAGTTCTAATTCACTATGAAATTTGGAAGCATCATTGTTTTCCTGTTTTGGCAACTTCCAAATTCAGAGGCTTTAAGTCCCAGAATTCCTAAACAGCATGGCCCCTGCTGAAAATTTTTGGAGTTGAAATCCCCTCATCTGGAAATTACCAAAGTAGGGAAATCCTGACCTGGATTAAAATATAATAATTGTTAAGTGGGGAGGTTAAAAAATAAAGCTGCTCAGTTGTTGATTTACATGCACTCATGTATATGCATCCTGAAAATGCAGAGTCATACTACTCCAATGAAATCTCAGGGTGCTTCACTGTGGACTTGTAATTATTGTTAGCAATATTCCTAAAATTATTTAGATTAGCAGAAGCTCTAAAATGTCTTACAAAGCATATCAGGGAACATGACAGACAGTAACAGAGCTGGAAGGCCCCTTAGAGGTCTTCTAATCCAACCGCTGCTCAACCAGGAGACCCTATACCTGTGATGATAAACCTATGGCACGTGTGCCCGAAGTGTCACACAGAGCCATGTCACCT